TATCTATTTTTTTGAAATATTTAACAGAGAAAATATTTGATTGAGTCATAGGTTCGTTAAGTCTATATATTGATTATGATTTATTTCAAGTTTTACAATCGATTTTTTTATTTATAATTAGAAATATAAAAATTTTTAAATATTGTGTTAGAGTCGTTATTTTAAATTTTGTGTTAGAGTCGAAAAAGTAAATCTAAATTTTTTTAATGAATCAGAGAATTACTCAGCTGATTAGATCTTGCATATCTAATAATTTTCTTTTTATTGAATTCAAATTATTAAATATATAATTATAAAATTTTTAATTTGCTTCACTGATTTGTTCGATAAAATTAAATATTTTAGTTTATACTTAAACAAATAATAGTTGTAATAAAGTTTCTATTTACTTTATTTATCATTTATTTATCATTTATTTATCATTCATTTATTCTCTCTTTACTTATCTTTAAAGAAAAGAAAGAAAAAGACGAAGTCACACAGAGAATTGCTTTAAAAAAAGATTCTATTTCTGTGCTTTATTTAATATTTTATTTTACTTGAAAAGCTAAAAATTGTTAATTATATATAATTTTAATATTATTAATATTATATACTATATTAAAAATAAAATCAAAAGAGAAATACAAAGTGTCTAATAAGCAATGAGATTACATAGCTAAAATATAAAATAATATGATAGTACGATAAAATAATATGATAGTACGATAAAATAATATGTTATTATATAATTAATGTAATATAAAGTTACTTCTCATAAATTCATAAACAATTATTATTTGTTGATTGATGTAATTTATGTTATTATTGATATGATAATGCGCGCGTGTATCCACGTGTTAAGGCACATATTTTTCTTCAATATTTATTTTAACTTGAAGAAAGTATGTGATTAAGCGATATGGTTCGTTAAGCTTTTATTACCGGTTTTATTTATTTTATCTTGATTGAATAACTGCGTAATTTTTATTTGTTTACAAATTAATTATTAATTAATTATTAATTAGTTAATTGATTAATAATTGTAGGTAATGATAATAATGATATTAATAAAAAGTAAATAATCTCAACTTATTAAAGATTATTAAAGATTACAACTGAAATGTAAAATATTGTGAAGATTTTTTTATTACTTTTAATAGCCTTTGTTTTATGTATACGTGTGCGTACGCGCATATTTGTTTTGCATATTTTTGCAAACATTTTAGAAACTTATTATTTAGGTATAGGCTGAAAGATAAATCATTATATTTGATGTTATTTATTCGAGATATCTATTTTTTGAAATATTTAACAGAATAGCTGTAGATATAATAAAATGCAAATTAAATAATTATTCAAATCGATATCAAAATATGTTTAGTCTCTATAATTTTTTTATTATGATATTTCGTGCGATTATATTTGATATTACATTATTATTAATTATTATTAATGTTAACCTTTCTTATAATATAATAACATTTTATAAATGTTGGCACATTTCTTAACTGAAATCATATATGAATTATATCGTCGATGTAGTCTTGTTATTTATACATTATTAACATAAGATAATATCAATTGAATATAGATGTGCAAAAGGAAACTTTATAAAATTAGTTTTTGTATTAATAAAAATAATATTTACAACATCACATTTTAGAAAAATAATGTTATTCTGTAATGTTGACTGAAAAATAAGGTATTTTCCGTTTTTTACGATACACGATAATTTTTAATTAATTCTATTTTATGCATATTATATATATTTGATAACACTTTGCAATGTCATTGAAAAATTTAAAAATCTTGACTTCTCTTTGCACAGTAATGTTCAATTGTACATCAAATGTTGTCGACTTATTTAAGCAAGTTTTATACCCTACAATTATTCAGTCGATTCGACTAGCATCGCTATAATGGGTTTAGCAGAGATCATCCAGGTATACAGTATCCAAATAAGGAAACTCCCAAATATTATTTTAAGCAGATAATCGGCGAAATATAAGTACATGAAGATTCGTCTTGCTCTTGGTAGCGTCGAAGGATCATCCTTTAAGCAATATTGTCTCGCACCCAAGATATACGCCAACAAATACTCGTTCCAACGCAGGAGCTTCGTGTCCATAAAAAATATTTCTTTATCAGAGGGACACAAACGGTCTTGCAAATTGCGCAGATTGTCGTTACTGCAATTAAAGGGACATTTTACAGCGAAATATAATAATTGATATATGCGTATTTAAATAAATTTAAAGTCTCACCAAAAGATCCACTGTTTCATGGTGTAATACTGAAGTAATTCCAACCCAGAGTTTACTCTACTTTGTACTCGCACCAAGAAGGGCTTATTTCCGGTAACAATAAGAAGTATATCCAACAGATAGGCGGGTATAGTGTGAAAGAACATGACGGCGAACCAATGTAAAACTTTGGAGGAAGTCATTCTCCCACCGGGATACCAAAGCGGTTCTAAAACAAATATTACGTCGGATATTTTTCACATTTTTTTTCCGCAATGTTTTTTTTTATAAATTTGGTGACGTGTTTCTTACGCGAGAAAGGGTTCGCGAATACGTGCTTCTTCCCCATCTCCAAGGCATCACCCCAGGAAATCGGATTTTCCTGATTCGCTGTGTCATTTAAAAATATTGGCTCCGTGGAACTCTCCGTTCCGACTTGCCAGGCCAGAGCGATTGTCGCGTTTACGGCCATGTCGCAAGGCACCACATCCGTTAAATAATCTGCGTTGCAGAGCATGGATCGTATGACCCCCTTACCTGCGCCGATCATTAACCCAGTTGGACCATTCATATTGTCCACCCAACCAGGGACAGGCTCTTTGTAAGACGCGCCAACTGAAATCGAAATCGGACAATCGTCAACATTTTGTTTGGAAGTATAATTGAAACTTAGACGAGTCCCTAAAAAATATATTGAAAGACTAAATCTTTTAATATTTTTCTTCCCGAAAGTAAAAATTGAAACCGAATTTTAAAATAGTTTCTTAAAGATGAAAATTTATGCGTAAAAAGATAACTTATCTTCGTATATTTTTCAGAATCAGTGTGGAATCAGTTTTTCCTCAATTCAATTTTATTAACGACGACAAATTACTCTGGCAAAGATCGAGAAGGCACTTGAAAGAAGAAAATTCTTACCTATTGATGGTCGTATGATTCCTACGGGTAGACCGCATCTCGACACGAAATCTTCGCTGAGTGCCTTGCTGTAGGCGTACGTGTTCGGTTGCTTGCCCAATAATTGCAATCTGATTGCCCCTAAGGCTTCATCTGTCATTGTGTTAACCATGCGAATGACATTTTCTGATGAGACGTCGGTTTGATAAGCGCGTTCTTCCAACATCGATTCGCCACATTGACAAAAAGATGTCGAAATGTGAATAAATGACTCGAGTAGAGGCATCTGAAAGATAATCGGGCTGTTTTCTAATTTGCACTTTTGTACTATCAGGTAAAATTTTTCTCTTTAATATTGCATGAAGTTTCAATTTTAATCATTTGATCAATGTCACCGAATTATTTTAATATTTAATTCTTGATACGAGTCAATTCGCAAACTGGCAAATTTTTTCCTTCAGCAAAATTGCATCCAAGTAGTAACTTTTAAAGCAATTGGAACTGACAAATGAGCGCTTTAAATTTTTTATCAATTAAGAGTCAGGTGTGCTATTATCATGTATGGAAATTTTTAAACGCTGATTCATTGGCTTGAAATCGACAGCGATTTCAAGTCAATGAATCAGCGTTTTAAAAATTATACATGAATGTATTTAGCACGCTTGACTATTAATTGATGCAAAACTGGCGCTTATTTGCTAGTTTTAACTGCTTTAATTGAAAAATAATTACTTGCAATTTTCGGAAGAATACTTATTTTTTTCTGACATAATCACACATTCCGTACGCACGAGTTCTAAGACGTATGAAAAAATTGTAAAAATAATTGTAAAAATAAAATTGTAAAATTATATATATATATTTAGATCTAAATTAATGAAAATTTCTCACCTGTTTCGCTAATGTCACGACGTTTATGGTACCCATGGTATTTATTTTGACGGCGGTTTTCAGTGACAGGTCGAACCTGACATTAGCAGCCATGTGAAAGACGACGGAAACATTGTTGACGAGACGTTCCTTATCCGCGACAGATAAAGAGAGTTCCTCGATGGTTGTATCGCCGATTATGACAACAAGTTTCTTAAGTCGCTGCGGGTATTGTTCTCTGAGAATTCTAAATGGCTCTTGCTGCAAATGCAATTTCCATTCAATGAATGATCTTATTTCATCTCTTCAAGACGATTTAAATAATTCACAATTGCTAATCAGCGCAATGACGTTATCGAATTGGAGTGGTTTTCTCACTTTTGTTCAATTTATTATTAACACTAAAGAGAGAAGAAGCGGTTATTTTCTATTTTTTTTTTTAAATTAATTTCGTTCTCTAGTTATAAATGGGATTCAAAAATTTTCTGATTTTGTTATTCTATCAGAGAAAAGAGAATAATTGAAAATAATGAAAAGTTAGAAAATTCGAAAATTATACCTTTAATAAATAAAAAAGAGATGTACAACTCAGAAAAAACAATTAGAAATGATCGCTCGGTATTTTTTAAATGCGTCCGTGCGTTATTGTTCCAAGTATTTGATGATTCGTGTCATTGTTTATATTTTCACTTTCTAACATAAGCATTCGAAGCGGATTAGAAGGAAATGTCAGAAACGTTTATCGGTTTTGCGCGCGCACATGCATGATTCAAGGATACGACTTCTTACCAAACTCTCTTCTCTTTACACTTCGATGATAGTCTCTCGAAAGATTGAGAAAGATGATGAAATAATTTGAAAATTTCTGACGGTATGATCGATGTCAAGGTGATTTACGATGATTCATTTCGGTCTACTAGATATTGACTACATAATACAATCACGCATTGTTCGTTCCCAATTTCCGCTACATACTATATTTCGTTCGATTAATTTTAGTTCGATTTTGATTTGAACCGAGTTTACTCAACTGTAATTCAAATTTATTCACTTGATATCTCAATAAAAGTCTAGGGACGTTCTAAAATTTTTTGTTATGCTCTTTGCAAACGACGCGTAGGAAAATGTAATAGGGGCAGGAGAAAGACCAGTGAGTTCGCATATTGCACGCGGCGTTAAAAAGTTGACGTTTACGTCGCTGTACAATAAAATTCCCTGATTACCACACACCAGTAAGCCAGTAACATAAATGCCTCTCGTTATTGTCCGTAATGAGCAGGTCCATTAAAGTTTTAGAGAAGCGATTGCGTTCGACGTTGCGGCGGTTACGCCGAGGGGGAGGTGTCGCAATGTTTTAGGTTCGCCTTTAGCGAATCGTCATTAAAAAGTCGATAAATAGCTTACGAAAGCTACAATGTGCGAAGAGAGGCATTAGAATTATAATAAATCTCTTTCGCGGGAATAATCGCGGTGATATGATCGGGAAAGGTGCATTGCGTGTCGCAACGTTGCTTCATCATCGGTCGAAGCTATTTTAACGACAGTGGCACCGAAGAGATCGCAATGCCAACCTGTTCTATTACCCATCTAGACGCATATATTTGCGTCGAGACGTTTTCACTTATGCCGATAATTGTCCCTTTCTCTCCCCTGACTACGGCGCCATACAAATAAGTTGTGTTGATATGCACGCGTGCACTTACGTAAGGAACACTGCAAATCTCGGTACTATTTTTTTTTTTTTTTTTTCGGGGTTTAGCATTTATATAATATTTGTATGAAAGACCATCTCTCAAATTATCCTCCATTAAATTTCTCGTTAAAGACACGCCGAGGTACCGAGGAGAATACCTATTGTGTACAATGCCGACATTTGGAATGTGATAAACGTATATTAATATGTAAACTAACTTGCGCATCTGTAGTCTGTGGTAAAAATAAACTTTAAATCATCATATCTCAATAATGTTTGGCCCGATTGAATTTTGATAGACTTGAATGACTTAGCAAAAGTTTGAATTATATAATGAAAGCATATTTATTTTTACCTTACATTCTGACGAAGATATTACGTAAAAAAGCAAATTTCGAATTAAATTTTGAATTCTGTTTTAAAAATTTGAACTTTTTTTTATCGCGTTACATTAATATGCCCAAATATAGCTTTTTTTTTGAGATTATTAATTTTAATTAATATTGCATTATCTTGAATAAAATATCTTATTTTACAATGTATGCTATATTATTATCTTAAATAAAAATATATTTTTATTCATTTGTAAGTAAATATATATGAAATTAATGAGAATCGGAAAATTAAACTTTTAATATTTTGATTTTTTTATAAAAACCAAATGTATTTTTTTAAATTTTAATATTTCTTGTTTAAAATTCTTTGCTCAATTATGATATAGTGCAATAATTCTTTTTATAACATATTTTTTAATAAATTTATAATAGCGAAAATAATGAGGTAAAAAAGTAAAATAATAAATAAAATATCAATATTATGAAATTATGAAAATTAGAAGAATGTTCGAATGTTATTATGATAGATATTAGATATTATTATCTTGATCACGCAAATGGTAACTTTACTAAATGATAATATTTTTAATCATATTTAATAATCTAAATTTATTTCTTTTATGTTATAAATAGTGTAAATAAAAACAAAATATATTTCTTTTCTTTTTCTTCTCTCTTTTTAAACAACTTTTTTGTCTATCATTATATAATTATATATCTCTAAGGTCCGGTTGCTACCAATATTATTTGGGCTTTAAGCGAGACTTAATACACGTGACTTAATATACATGACATATATTATATATTAAATATCACTTAAAATTCAAAATAATCGTTAATGCAATCGAGCCTAAGCCTTATATGAAATTATACATTAATTAAAACATTATTGGTATTATTACTATTGAGACTACTATTATTAAAACAAATTAATTACTTAGCAAGATTATGAATTATTTCAAATAATTAATATGAATTTATTCAATGTGTAATTAGAATGTCAATCAGATGTATCATAAATATTCATAATTATCGAATTTGTTTTTAATAATATTAACAATATTTATATTAAATTTTTAAAGTAATGTTATTTCTATTTTTTAAAATTTATTTTCTATCTTTTTTTATCTATTTTTATTTATTTTTTAGATAATTAAAATTGGATTTGTTACCTGTAATATCAGATGCAATCTTGTATGTGAATCAACGCCCTTTTTCTTCCTGATTATTAAAAAAATATCACCAATGTCGGGACAACTCAGTAATAATTTAGAAATTAGAACTTTTCCCATAAATCCGGTACCACCGGTAATAAGAATATTTTTATTAGCAAACCACTCGGGTATTGATTTTATAGTCATTTTTGTACTGGAAAATATAAATAAGATATGTTGTTCAGAAGAGAAGTAAAGAATTTATAAGAATTTGTAATGATTTGTTTCTTTATAATTCAAATCTAATATAATCCGTATTTCCTTTATTTAATAAAACGTTATTTTTATATTTATAACCATTGAAAAAAGTTTAAAGTTTGATAAAAACAATCTAAAAAAATTCTATTTTGTTGTAGAGAAAATTCAATTGAAAATTAATATTTTAGCAATAATAATAATTTTTCTTTCTTCTTTATTGAGTATTCA